ACATTTTAGTACTTTTCGTACTTTTTTCCTTTGGTATGAATATCTAAAAAAATAGATGAATTTCGAAATTTGCGCCGTCAACGCGTCACACTCTTGACACAGTAGCAATGTTGTAACTTACCTCACTTTTTATATCTTTAAATTGTGATTTCCAAAAAAAAAAAACTTTTCTCATCACTTTTTACCATTTACTTCCCTCTTTAAAATTTTTAAAATATAGTTTTTTCATGCGATGAAAGTACAATTATCCAAAAATCCCAATTAATATCAACACTCCGCAGTGGAAGATACCCTCATACAAAATTGCAATTCTCTATCCCTTACCGGTCGCTAGCCAAACCACTGCGCGATACTACTTTCAGTTTTATGGATTGTCATTGAAGGAATCATTGAAGGTTTGTAATTTAGAACAAGGAACAGTGTTATCCTACAAAAAAAAGAAAAACAAGGATGCCAAAAATGTACCTTTGATGAAAGAATTCGCGTTGAGTAACAAAATGTGCCCAGACTTGCAGATTAAAACCCTCAGATGTCTGTCCTTACTCCAACTACTTTCGTTATCATGTAAAATGTTGCAATTCATCTCTTTATCATTCCATTTGAAATTATATTCAAGTCATCCTCCCGAAATAAAGTTAAGGAGTATCCCTTTTTATTAAAAATTAATATAAACTTTTAAAGAGGTTTTCATTAAAGTCATTTGCAGGATGCTTGTTGAACACTTCATTCGCAATTCGCCAGAATTCTTCAATTGTTCCGTCAAGAGTTGGGTATCCTTAAGGAGACAGCCAGCGAGCCAGTCATCCAGCCAGCCGAAGTTTAGTCAGTTATTTGATTTATATGTCCATTTAATATGTTGCTCTTGGGTTTCGTTTTTTGGGTTTTACTCGCATCCTTGCTAAACAAGCGGTCGGTAACAAAAACACACACACAGACACAAACTGACGGGTAAACAATGTTACACACAAAATATATTTGCAACGATGTTGTTGTGTATGTATCTCTTCCTTCTTTTATTGTATTTCATTTTGTTTGGCATTTTGAGTTTTAGTTTCCTTTTTTTTTTTTTGGTTGGTTTGTTGCTGTACATGTAAGGATCTGTGTGCCTTTTGGTTTTGTTTTACATTTCTCCATTCTCTTTCTTCGCATTTTTTTTTTTTTTTGGTTTTTTGTTGTTTACTCTGTACTTGAATAGTAATGAGGTATTTGTGCCTGGCAATTCACTTAACTCTGCTTTGCTTTAAAGTGCCTCTTAAATCCTTCATTAAGCAATAATTTAATGCTGTTTATTTCTAGCAACAGCAGTCCTCCTCTTTATACTCCATTTGTGAAAAATTCGTTATGTTTCGTTCAGTACGTCCTCTCCTCTTTCTTGGGCATCTCACAAAAAGAAAATCATTTCCTTTTGCATTTTAATATTATTTTCCAGAGAAAACGGAAAATGAACAGTTCTTGCAAATGAACAAAAATATTTACCAAAAAAATAGAAGGAATTGAATAATGGTTAGTAAGTTATCACAAAGTAATTTCCTTGGACTCACTTGAACTTTAAACTAAATGTCTTCATCAATTAAAGGGGTAGGAAAACTGTTCACTTGAAAAATTAAATTACAACATAAAGGAGTCGGAGAAGAGAGGTTACACTTATTTGAGAGGAAACGTATCAGATATTCTAGGTAACCATGCGACCCATACGTTTTTATACTTATTAGACATTAATTCAGTATAAACCTATCAATTTCTTCTTCAATTTTATTCAGGAATTAACTGTGGTGAAATATGCTGTTAATTTTATAGAATTCTTTGGGGCGTGTTACCTCCCAAACGCCTCCTTTTTAAAACGCTCTATCTTCCAAGCTAATGAAAGAATCAAACATTTGTAGCATTAAATGAAGTGAAATAGCGATAGGAAGATGAGGCATTTCATCATCCAAATTCTTCAAAAGATGGGATTGATTTCTGAAGTTGATACGACATCTGCATGATTCTGTTAATAATTCAATATTTATGTGATTCTCAGGACTGAAATTGTTACATTCTCAAAATTTTAACTGTTTTGATTTTCGTAATACATTAAATCTTACAGATAAATTCTATAAGGTAGTCATGTAATGAAATATCTGCTAATATCGGCGGTGGTACACTAAACAAGTAAAAAGACATTAAGTTCGGCCGTGTCGACTTCTACTACCCTCCACCATTAGGTAAAGAAAAATTTTTATACAAAATTATCTGGATTCAAACGTGTTCCACTTTAAACTACAAACTCAGGTAATATCGGTGGGAGAATGTAGTTAGAGTTTTCTAAAAACAATATAGTGGTTGGAGCCATTAAATAGGGGCCTAACCAAAACGGGAGCCTATATAGACAATTTTAATACCAAATAATAATACCTCAAATACCAAATTTTAAATAATCTCGGGGGTAAATGTGACTAGGATCATCAAAACACTGAATATCGGTCTATATCGGGTGGTAGGAATATCGGGTGGAACCCATATATAGGGGCTGTACGAAGACATGGTCCAATATATACAATGTTCCGCCACCGAAGCTAGAAGCCATAACGAACTACAAATACCAATTTTTAGACAAATCAGTGCAAAATGTGGGTTAACCCATCAAAATACCGAATATTGAGAGCTATCGTTATTTGGGGGCTATACGAAAATGTGGACCTAGATATTCAATGTTTTGCCACAGGAGCTAAAACCTATTACGAACTACAAATACCATTTTTAGACAAATCCGTAAAAAATGTGCAAAAATCTTCAACATACCGAATATCGGGAGGGACAATACGAAAATGTGGACCCATACAACGAACTACAAATACCAATTTTTAGACAAATTACCCTTACCAGTACTTCTTCATAGATCGAAATCTATATTTTAATTCAAGCCGTTCGAGTTTAGAACTATTATGTTCTACAGGTATTCATCTGTACACATCATCACTATTAAGGTACAAACTTGAACAATGTAATGACGATATCAGATAATGCCACTAACGAACTTTTTGGATACAATCACTCACATTTGGAGCACATATGTACTCGTTTTCACTCGGGAGTAAAACTTGCTCGCGAGCGGGATTGAACGAAGAGTAAGAGTTTTATATGGAATTTACCCTTCACTCATTTTAAATGCAGGAAAGCTGCAATTCCCTCTCGCAATCTAGCCTATAACTGGATCTAGAATTTATTTTTTTTCTGAAGTTCAAATCTTCAAATGTTGTATGAAAACAACGACACGAGAAATCAAATAATGTGGTATTTTTGACATTCGCCTAAAGGCTGGATTACACTTGACGTTAGGGTCATATATAAAGTGACATTTTCAACAATTATCTGTAGCATTTTTAAGACATACATTTCGACGCTCCCCAGCTTTTTTAATCTAAATAGAAACGCATTATAGTAAGATAAATTATGTTTATATGTTTACAAGTATAGAATAATTAAAATACAGTTGTATTTATGGTAATGTATGATGTATAGTTTATATAATATAGGACTACTTTTTGACTCCAACCTAACATGTATTCTGACCTTAGGAAGTAAAAACTTTTTTACTTTTAAGGTAATAATCTTAAAATTTTGTATACCTCCACCATACTTTGGAGGGTATATTAATTTTGTTATTCCGTTTGTAATTTATCGAAAAAAATCTAAGTCGATTTAACGATGTCTTTCGTATTCACGCTTCCTATCGCACAAATTGGAATAGAAGGCTTGTATTTTTTCCGTTGGCAGATCAAGTTCGTAAATTAGCGATATCGGTTCACGTTTTCGTAAAGCCCCCATATAACGATACGTCTCGATACTCTGTATTTTGACGACGTTATCCACATTTGCTAGCCGAATTGCTTAAAATCCGTTATTTAGAGTTTTTAAAGAGCAATTACTCTGCAGTATAACAACTTTTTCCATATGCACCCGTTTTCCTAGAAACCAGTATAATGGTATCTCGCAATATTGGGTTTTTTTGCGACAATGGAATCACTCGATATTCGGTACTTTGACGATTGAGGTTCGACATTTATAGTTTGTAACTAATTTTGGTGGCAGAAATTGTTCAGTGAAGGTCAACATTGCAAAAAATATATATATCGGTACCACCCTCTTTATAGTATTTTGAAGACTTTATATTCATGCTTCAACCGATTTAACTTGTAAAAATTCAACTCGCTGGAATATAAAATTCTCATACTGTATTATAAAGGTTTTTTAAATCCTCATTGTGGAGGGTATTAAAAGTTCTACCGAAATTGATGCTTATTTACTTGTTGGGTACTAAAAAATGTACCAAGGGTAGAGCTACATCTTTCTCAGAAGTAATTCGAAACATTTAAATTGTAATTTGTGAATTCTATTTGTAATTCGATGAATCATTCGATTCATATTTCCTAATATCAACTTCGCTATTTCAATTTTAAATATTTCATATATTAACTATCTATACTTTTATTATATATATATATATATTTTTTTTTTTTTCAAAAAATAAACTCTAAGTGTAAAATATTTATATTTTTACATTATTCTTCATTCTATTTTACATGAATACAACAAAATAAATTTTAATTGTATATCCTACCCACCTTAATAAAATATGTATATTTTTCGTTAATAATTCGTATTTTCAATGGAAGAACTTTAATTTTAAATGCAATGAAGATTTCGCATATAGGTAAGTTATGATGCAAATTTACTAAATTAGAAACTAAATTCTGAAATTTGTAAATACAAAATTAAATTTGTGGAAAAATTGTACTAATGCTTAAATCTTGAAATTTAGCATAAGGGTCAATTTTGTTTTAGAAGTAGTCGAAAATTATTGCATATGTGTGCCGAAAGATCAATGGTGGGCCAAGCAAACCGGGCCTATTCTGCTTTTAAAGGCCTAGTATTTCTAAAAACTTATGCTTAATTCGTTCTTCTTAATATATATTATTAAAAACAACTAACTAATTGGTCCATTTTTTTTCTTTTTTCAGATTATACGAGAGCGTTTACCGCATTACCCAGAGCGAAATAGTATAGTCTGGAATACAGCACCAGGTGCTCTTCTTACACTTCCAACATTCGCTGATAGTTCCAGGTAAGAATAAAAATACATTTTATTTATTTAAGAATGTTCATTAAGTCCGATTAATGATTCTGAAAGTTAAGAAAGCGAAATGGGAAATTTTAAGTCAACACTCTGCCTCCTTGAGGTAGATTTTTCGAATTGTAGGTTTATAGAACCATCAATTCTCACATAATTCAACGATTGTTCTTGTGACCATTTTGAAGGTTTTCGATTGTAAGTGAGTTGTAAATGCTAGTTCCCGTCACAATGACAATAAAAGCAAGAGACGTGCAAAAAACATAATTTCAATCTTCTAGTAGCCTGTAATACGGAATATATTGTTAAAAACCAAAAATTCTTCTTGAAAAAATGGGTTCAGTGTGTGGTATTGCATCTAAAATATGCATCCTAATATTTTTTCATGGGAACTGATTTAAAGAAATAAAATACCTCTATCGAAACAAGTTACAAAGTAAAAAAACATTAAACAAGTTACAAAGTTTAAGTCGGTTTTGCCGACGGATGTATACCCTTAACCAATGTTCGATTATTTAAATATATTTTTATTTCTGTTATGATTATTCAAATTAGTGACCCTCTGTGGATCTGACCTAAATAAATATGAATCATCACTTATATGAGATATATGAAAATTTTTAGAAAATGTAAAAATTTGCGTGAGTTTCCAGATATAGTCGACCGAAGCATTCCATTTTCATACTTCATAAAAAAATATTGGTATGTGCAAAATTACAAGAAAATCGAACATTTATATCCAATTTTATGCGAAATCATAAATTCCACATACATCTCAGGTTTCTGGTTGAGATAAATATTTAGATATAGCTAGTTGTAAGGAATCGCTGACTTGTTTTGCAAGTTATGACATATAAAAGTATTGAAAATTGTGACCCTTTATGGGTGAGGTACCAGAAGGGATTCGCAAATATATATCATCTTCACAACAAATCTTGTGTTAGCAAAAATATTTGTATGTGTGAAATTTGAAGAGAGTTGGATGCTTGTTTCGCATTCTTTGAGCGTTTAGTTTTTCAAAATCTTGAACTCTATGTTTATCAGAAGAAATAGCCAGATCTCCACCATCTTTCTAACCGATATTGTGTTTATGGAAATATTGAGATGTATCAAGTCTGTATGGAATCGGAGTTAATTTCGCGTTTTATGAGCTTCATGGATATTAAAAATTTTGACCTTTTGTGGGGGAGGTACCAGAAGGAGTGGACCAATATATTGCATAATTAACCCAGACCTTGGGTTAATAAAAATACAGAAAAGTGTGACTATTACATCACATTTTATTAGAGTTATAATTATTCAAAATTTTGACCCTTTGAATGTAAGGTACTTGATGGGGTGGACCGATATTGTCTATTTTCACACCTGACCTAGCACTAATGTAAATATTAGGATTTGCAAAGTTGGAACAAAATCGGATTATCCTTTCTCTTTTTGTGCAGTTACATACTTTCTTTGAAAAGTTCGACCTTTTGTGGGGGAGCCACTAGAAGGAGTGGACCGATATTGTCCATCTCCGAACTCGATCTAAGTTTGATAATAATATCACGATGTACCAAATTTGGACGGATGTTCCCTTCGAGAGTAATCATGCTCACCAGCCAGCCAGAGACGGACGGACATCGCTAGATCGACTCCGAATATCCTGAAACGGATTTGGTCCAAAAGACCTGGGGTCTAAAACCGTTATTTCGATGGGGCACGTTGTGGCCGTATCAAATGACATATATCCTGTGTAGCCATATAGCTGAGGGTATAAGAATCAACTAATAAAGACTTTATTTAAAATTTACAAAATATCCAGAGAAAAAGTTGAAACCAATTAACTCCTTATTTGAGTTAATTATGAGTTATTTGAGTGCAGATTAAAAGAAATCCCGCTTCTTTTGTAGTTTCTGTACATTGGTCCCTTTTATCCGTAATTTTTCTAAAGTTGGGTAATAAAATTTACAAAGATTCAAAATATTCATGATTTCTAAATTTTCTTGCCTTTAAGATCCAAAGTTTTCTGGATTTATATTTATTTTAAAATGCTTAAATTTGCCGCTTTCTGACCACTTTCTGAATCCGAATAAAATTCTTGTGGTTGTGTCTTTGTTAGATACATTTATCTTCCCAATCTTAAATCTTTCAATTTTTTTAAGAACATGTCGATTGTTGATGCCTGCCCATAACATCAGCAGGTTAACCCAAAATTTCCTAAATATTTTCTAAACTTCTGCAACTGCCTTAATTTTTATCAGGAATATATTGTGTCTAACATTTTCCTCTCATTTGCGATTTCTCAAACTTTAAATCGAAGTCTCCTATCACCACAGAAATTATTTACTTTAACTAAATTTTCCATCGGCAGTAACAAACGGCAATAGATACCAAAAAAAACATTTGTTCGCCACGTACCGTTGTGGCAAAATAAAAATCGGCCAAAAAAATGCAGCATCGACATAAGTTTGCCGTAAGATTTGTGTGATATTGTATTGTAATTGACCTACATTTTTGGGGATAGCACCTGACTACCGATGCCCGAAAGGAGTCGGAAGTAATTGCATAGTTTTTTTTTTTTTTTTTTTTGTTTTTTTGTTATTCCTTTTAAATAATGGTCGCATTTTCCATTTTCGCTTTCATCTTCGTTCGTTGAACTGGCATTGCAACTACCACTACTACTACTGCTGCTGCCTGCTAGTTGAACGGTTTAATGAACATTGTTGTCTTTGTTTTTTTTTTTTTTTTTGTTGTCGTTGTTGTGATTTTCTCTCATTTCCCATTTCGTTTGCTGTTTTGTTTTTTATTTTTTGTTAACCCTTTGCTTCCTTTTGCCATTTCAGATTTATGCCATTTTTGTTGGACGATATAAACTTGAGAACAAGAGACAATTACACAGCCGTGATATATGTTCAAATAGGTGCACCCTTAGGTCCTAATAATGCACTTTACAAACTAGTCAAAACCATAACAAAAAGTCAATTTGTAGATAGGGTGAGTTATTGCATTTGGGAAATTGCTTGCATCAATTACTGACTGACCCATATTTCTCTGTTTGTTTTTGTTCGATTTAGATTATTGTTTTATGGGCGGCTGATCGCCCCATTCCGGCTAAGAAACGTTGGCCACCCACTTACCATATACCATTCCATGTGATATCACTCGGCAGCTCATATCAAACAAAGTCCGCTGCGGCGGCTGTACTCAAGGGAGGAGTAGGAGGAGGTGTAAGCGGTGGTCGTGGAGAGACCGGCGGCGGAGGAGTGGGAGCAGATAATGTGAGAAATGTAGAAAACGATGGTGCCTTAAACGGTCGCTCAGCATCCCAGCACAAAAACCATAATTATAATGATAATAAGAATAGGAATAATGCACATTCACCTGATGGCGAGACGCCGACTGACAACGACGCTGATGCGACCGACGAACGCCCCAGTATATCCCAACGATTTTATCCTTATGACGAAATACAAACAGATGCTGTATTATCATTGGACGAGGACGCCATACTCAACACAGACGAGTTGGACTTTGCCTATACGGTGTGGCGTGACTTTCCCGATCGCATTGTGGGCTATCCAGCTCGTGCTCACTTCTGGGATGATTCCAAGGTGAAGTAGTATTAAAACCATACAAAAAACCAAATTACTTATTTGTAATTCTCTATTTTTCCATTCCAGAATGCTTGGGGTTACACTTCTAAGTGGACAAATTACTATTCCATTGTTTTGACTGGTGCCGCTTTCTATCATCGCTACTACAACTACTTGTACACCAACTGGTTGTCGTTGCTACTCCTGAAGACTGTACAACAATCTTCCAATTGCGAAGACATCCTAATGAACTTTCTCGTATCGCATGTTACCCGAAAGGCTCCCATCAAAGTAACACAGCGCAAAGGTTACAAGGATCGTGAAACGGGGCGTTCGCCTTGGAATGATCCAGATCACTTTATACAGCGTCAGAGTTGTCTCAACACCTTTGCCGCTGTTTTTGGGTAAGTTTCTGAGTTATACAATTAATATATAAAAACCTAATCGTTTCCACATCGTGTTAGAGTCATATGTAAAGAGATATTATCACATGTTACAATAAGCTCTTCCAACAATTTTTGAACTTAACTGTACAGTACTATATAATATTTATATTACACTTATACCTTTGCATAATATGCACTATACTATAAGGCGTTTCCTTGCGCCTGAAAGTATGGTATAAAAAGCTTAGCATAAATATAGAAAATGTAGTCTTACATTAATGCTAATTCTAGTTTACACGAATTTATATATGTATATTATGCCCCCGCACTCCGTTTGTAACTACTCGAAACACTCATGATAGAGCCTACAAAGTATATATATTCAGTATCAGCGTTAAATTCTAAGTCGATATAGCCATGTCCGTCTGTCTGTTGTAATCACGCTATCTTTCGAACGAATTGATATTATTTTGCAACTAGGCAGGTTATGTTCCTAAATGGGCCACGTTTTTGTGTAGCCCCCATATAACGGTACTACAGGGTGAGATGAAAAAACTGCAATCAACTTCGGACTGCTGTCATTCTTCCGACAGATGTTAAAATTATTCCAGTGACAGCTCATTATATTTTTTACAAGCGTACAAAAGCATTTTGGTGAGAATTTTCCAGAATTTTCGCAGTAGCCGAAAAATGGCTCGTGAGCTGAACATATCGCAATATTACATTCGGCAAATATTGAAAAATGAGCTCGGGGTAAAGCCATTGAAATTCCAAAAAGTGCAAGAACTTACACCGCAACAGAAAGAAAATAGTCTAAAGAGTTGCTTCGCTTGGCCGAAAGTGGTGAACTGTCGAATTTGGTTTTCTCTGAGGAGAAAATATTTGTTGTTCAGCTGTTTGTAAACAAACAAACAAAATTATATAGAGGTCAGCCGAAAATGTGCACCTTCGGTTGGCCACCGAACTCAGAGCGGCCATGGTGAAGGTGTGGGCCGCCATAACAGCCGATGGTCGCTCTCCGCTCTTATTAATCGACCGTGGCATCAGAATAAATGCCGAATATTATCGCGAAAATATTCTGTATTACAGCCTTGGGCACGCAACCATTTTGGCCGCAGACCTTGGACATTCCAACAGGACTCAGCACCATCGCATTCAGCACGCGCCACTCATGAATGGTTACAAAATGAGGTTCCTCGCTTCATTTCTAGCGCACAATGGCCACCAAAATCCGGATACCAATCCATTGGACTATTGTGTCTGGAGTATTTGGAAAGCAATGGGCCAAAGTTGGCTTTATTGAAAATTAAAACTGTGTGGATTTGCCTTAATATTTTATTATTATTATTTTTTTTTTTTAAATAAAAATTTAATTTTTTGATAATCGGTTTTATGAGTTTAATTTTATTTTAACCTGGCAAATACTATTACGACCGAAGTGTATCCAAAATGAATGATTCCGCAATTGTTAAAAAATCGGCACCAATGTCTGTTAATTCACATGAAGTTTCAAACGCTTTTCAAACCATTACTTATTTGACCACAATCATTTAAAAAAAATCAATTCGTATTCTCAGTAAGGGATTGAGTTTTGTGTTTGTAAAACACGTCTCTGTGGTTGCTTTATATTAATTATATGTATATCCTGTCAATACAATTCCGTCTAGCGTACTCGTCTTTTGAATAACATTGAATTGTTGTAACCACAATTTTGGCAGGGCAGGAGGTTAAGTTAATATGGTGGTATTGGTAAATAGATCACGTTTTACATTATTTCTCTGTCATTGAGTAACGAACGAACATACCAACGGATTCTATGACTGCCTGACGACTGTCGGTGATAGAAACGTATGCATGAGTATTCAATTCAAATTATATTTTTGCAAACTGCAGTGGTTAGGAGAGCGTGAGGTAGTAGTTAAACCGCAATAGGGAATGGATGTCATGATTTTAGAGGAAATCGTTTGTGTTTTTTTGGAATACGTTGGAAAATGTTTAACTCTGTTTATTAAAAATACAAAATTATTTTATTTTTCTACTTTCCCGTATAATTTAGAACAAAAAAATATATAAATATATCAATTCGGAATGACTTTTCCTGATCTGAAACTGCTTTTAAATGGCCACATCTCATGCATATAGACTGAGAATTATATGGGGAAAATTGTGTATGTATGGTTTATTTTTGCACAATGCTATTTAACTTACGAGGAAACGTAAATGTTCCTCTTTTATACCACCGATGCTAGATGGGGTCACGCTAAACCTCTGAATCTAAATACCTCGGCACTATCCTCGACCGCCAATTAAGCTGGAAGAAGAACACCGAGGAGCGAGCAAAGGGTGGCTTAATTGCACTTTGCAAGAACTCCATAGGTAAAAGCTTGGGCCTCGAACCACACATCATTAAATGGGTGTATGAGTCAATTGTTCGCCCCATCCTAACCTATGGAAATCTAGTGTGGTGGCATTCCTTGAGGAAATCATCCTTCTTACGTCGCATTGAAAAAGTTTAACGAGCCGCCCTACTAATAAAGTGTAAATTCAAGAGCACACCTCAAACTGCACTGGATACCCTACTGTGCTTAAGCCCACTAAGCATACACGTAGAGGTTAAGGCAATTAGATGTGCACTTCGAGTCAAAGAACTAAACCAATGGCGCAGTCAATCCTTTGGACATTCTGCGATCCTAGAGCGTGTAAGGGATGTGGGAGAAGCCAACACTATTGATTATATTTCATCACGGTTGTGGTTTGACCCACCTGACATCCACATACGTGATAGGGACACCTCGGTGCGTAACAATCCACCTTTCTGCGGCATAGCTGCCTATACCGACGGTTCTAAGATGGAATCCGGAACGGGAGCTGGTGTCTTCTATGACACCAATCCTACAAGTATAGAAACGAATGTAGCGTATTCTGGGCGGAAATTTTTTCGGTCAAAAAAGCAATAGACCTGTTTTTAACGAGGAACAACGAGGTTAGCCGGTGCCTATATACGTTGATAGTCAAGCCGCTCTGGAAGCCCTAAACTCATCTAGTATCAAGTCTAAGGTTGTTTTGGACTGCAGGAGGTCCTTGGAAAACGCTTGGTTGTCTATCAAGCTCTGTTGAATTCCTGGTCATTACAATATCCCAGGCGAGGAGACTGCATACGAATTGGCTAGGCTAGGATCAGAATCAACTACCATTGAAGTTGAGAACACGGTCAAACCACCCCTGTGCCACTTCCTACAGTTCATTCATAAACACTACTCGGAGAGAATTGACTTAAAACTTGTGGTAGGTAGGTCTCAGGAAGGTGAGGGCAATGATCTCGAAATGGGATAGCGATGATATTGATTACTGTAGAATATGTCAAGACGAAGAAGAAACTGAGATGTTCGAGCATCTACTCTGCCACTGTCCAGCACTCATTAACGTGAAACACAGGTTGGTGGGGGAACAATTGTCACATGATTTGTCTTCGTCGTCTAACACTGACAGTAATACTTCAATTAGCCAGAAGATTTAAGTGCCTAAAAACGACATGGCAAGATCTCTTGCCGTGAATCACCTTCACAACTAAATATAAAACCAATAACACCTTCCTTTTTTCCACTATTCTTTCTTTCCTCAAATTTCTTATTAGGATAAACACAATGTACCAGCAGGTCCTTTAACGCGCGTCCTTTAACCTAACCTAACTTAAAGATCGCTATTTGCACAATGTTCTTTAATGAGGTAAGGATGAGGTTTAGTGCCCTGCTCCTTTGTTGGGTTGAGACTGGACACACTAACGTCCAATGAGACTTTTGTATGACATGTTGTTGTTGTAACAGCTTTACATGTTTTGTTCGAATTCTGCTAATGCAGGTTCAAAAAATCGGCTACTTTCGTGGGCCGCAACCAAAGTTTTGGCAGGACAATTTTATAGAGGCAACTGCACCATCCTGAACGTAAATGCACCAAAACTACTCCGGTTTATGTAGGCAGCCGACGTTCTACAGCAGCAAAGGATGGAAGATAGACACTGAGGACAGCATTTATGCTATAATTGTCCTGCCTAATAGGTTTCTCCATCTGTAAATGCCTGGGTGAGGTTGTTTTATCCACCATGTTTGAATGACTCCCGTGGTAGCACCCAAGCAGGTACTCCAACGAAAGCATGTGGTTATGTTGATGTAAGGGGATGACTTTCGCCTCCTCATGTAGATGGTCCTCTAGTGTCATGAGAAGGCACCCTGTCGCAGTTTTCAGGGTAGCATTCTGGCAGGTCTGAATGTGCTTCCACTGCATAGCACTAGTATACGCAGACAACACTGGAGCCGCATAGCTGACCACAGACCGACCTACCGCGTTATAAGAGGTCAACAAGGTTTCTATGTCCGCACCGCAAGTGCTGCCGCCTAGCGCCTTAAGGACATTGTTCCTACTTTTCATCTTATCGCAGGCAGCTGTGGCTTGCGCGGACGGCTTGAACATGCTGTCGAATGTGACCCCTAGAATCTTGGGGTAGTTCGTGGTGGGTATTAAATTCCCCTCGATATGCACATTCAGCTATGTTCTCATCTCCGCAGACCATGTGGTAAGACCTCGCGTGTAAGTATGCGGCAAGCTCCGAAAGATAGGGGTTCAGCCTTTCACATATGTCAACAACCACCGGGCCCGATGCCATGATCGTACAATTATCCGCGTACGTTACGATCTGTATGCCTTCTGGAGAGCGAGGAATTCCGGAAAGTTAGAGGTTTAACAGTTCCGGATATATCTCCCCGCCTACGGGCTTTGGATTTCTTGTTCTGGAATTCCCGGTACGTCCACACATATAGTTTATTATCCAACGTTTCAAACTTGGCCGGAGGGTAGTTCTCTGCACGTCCTTAAACAGTGTGGCATGATTGACCGTATCAAATGCCATTGTTAGGTCCAGGGCAACCAACACTGTTTTATCATATGGCCTGTTCTGTTTCAATCCTCTACGAATATGTGGGGAAATTGCGTGTAATGCTGTTGTGGTACTATGTTGTGAACGGAATCCGTGCTGATGGTTGGAAACTGGATAGCTTCCTCTAATTCTGGGGACAAAAGCGAAATCGAAATCAGTAGCGGGACCACCAGACCCATTATCCAGGCTTCAGGTACTATGTGGGTGGGAACTTTCGTTAGGAACTCGATTCCCGGCGTATCCAGCATTACCATTGAGATTCCGTCTGGGCTCAACTCTTTGGATGATTTAGTGACTTGCAATATCACCCATCGTAAACTGTGGTGGTTCCTCCTCGGCGGGAAGAGATCTGATACGACGTAGTAATCTTCATTTCGCCCTGTCGCTCTCGGGGTGCTCGACAAATTGTCAGTTAAAATACTCAGAGCATCTCTTCGAATCAGTCAGCGTTACGTCGTTAAAAGTGACTGAGGTCCTATCATCCTTCTTTTCAGGGTTCGAGAGCGACTTAACCCACAGCTTACTCATATCGGTTCTAATGTTGCAATACTTCAGATGGTCTAGTAACTTTTTCCTCTTTTGCTCCTGTACCAACCGGTTGACTTCCACTGTCAAATCACTGATTCTAGGATCAGCAGGCTTGGTACGATGGGGATCATCACGCTCGTTTGCTAATTCCGCTGCCTCTGCTGGGAAGTTTGGTCTTATTGTGGGTATTCGATCAGCAGGTATATAGCGATCTCCTGCAGCTTTGATGATGTTTCGGAAAATGCTTTCTGCTACCAAACATCAGAAACATCTCTGAACTTTGGCCAGTGAGCTTTCCCATGGTTAAGGAAAGTGCCGCGTTTAGAGGTTATGAAATCGGGTGACCTGCTTATGGAGACGATTATTGTGAGATGGTCTGAACCAAGAGAAATTACGAGTTGCCAAGTCAAGTCATTTTTCAGACCGGGTGACACTATAGTTAAGTCTGGCGAACTATGACACTCTCCTCTTATTCGGGTGGGGCATCCTCGTTAACCGTGCAGAATGTGGATCAGTCAATCTGCTCTGCCAGCGCTGACCCCCTCTGGTCATTACCTAGGACGGAATGCCACCACTCATGGTGGGCATTAAAAACCCCTAGTACCAGGCGGTTATTGACTACCAACAATGGGCTAATATCTGGCAAATAACGCGGTTCACAGCTATTAATCGGCGGGATATACACACTAAGCACCTCTACCTCGGCAGTTCCACACTTGACTGCTACCCCCATATATTTCATGTATGGGTAGAGACTAGCTCAAGCGAGATAGGTCTGTACTGAACAGAATGGGGTAACAGGAACGCTAATCCCTCACCCCCACTGCTGCTGCGATTCTTACTTAGTACGCTGTAATCATAACTTGCTTCAATTTTCATTCAGCTTGGTTTCCTGCACCTGCGATCTTAATATTCCTCAGATTCATAAATTCCACTATCTCATCAATTTTGCCTCGGAGCCCGTTGCAGTCGAATTGCAAGAACGATGCACAATGCGGAGTTGGAACAGGAAAATGTGGCGTTTGATGCTGCGGTGTTGGTTGCTGTTCTGGAGACTGCGGTGGACGTCGAAGAAGTGGACTCGCTGGGCAGCATGTCGCAACATAATCCCTTTCGCTGTAGTCTCGCAAACGCAAACGTCTCGGAATATAACAACATTAGTAAATACTTTGCATCTTTTTTTTTACCACTAAAGTGCAACTTGAGTTTGTTCAATAGATACGGCCCTGAATGAGAAAGCTTTCTCAAACTAGTCGAATTTAGAGCAAATTTGCTTATAATATTGTCAGGAGTTCATTGCGATTAGATCACTTTTTTTACTTTCTCTGCTATTTGCCTTCCAAAATATATAAAAATCTATTAATAATGTTTTCAATTATTTCATTTCAGCTACATGCCACTCGTACGTTCCAATATGCGTTTAGATCCCATTCTATATCGCGATCCCGTCTCAAATTTGCGGAAAAAATATCGACAAATCGAATTGGTTGGCAGCTAGCGTTCCATAAATAACAGCTTGTAAATGTTTAAAAAATAAAAGAAGCAACAACAACAAAAATAAATATAAACACTAAATCAATAGCCGCGCAGCAACAATGAAACATGAAAGCCGCCACAGAAACAGCAAAAATTACAACTTCAACAGCAACAAACAACAAATATCCAAATCCAATTATACATTAAGCAATTATTGAATAATGTTAGTTAAAATATTAAATATTTTATTAGTTTTCTAAGCGCAAAAAAAAAACAAAAACATAATGTAATCATACAGACACACTTATATATAAATATATGGTATACTGTATGAGTATATAATATTATACATATACATATATTAACGTATATATACATATACATATTTAGAATAATATACATATAAATATATAGATCAACCCTATCCCCACCAGACACCAAAAACCCAAAAAAAAAAAACTAAAACAACTAAAACCTAAAAAATAACCTTCCTAACGAAAGAAAACTCAAAGCAAATAAAACAAATATGCCCTAGCCGAAAAGATTGTAAAAATTCCGAACGAAAACTCCAAAAAAAAAAAACACAAAAAAAGAACAAGGTGCCGTAGTAAATATTAAGTAAGACAAAAAGAAGAAGGCGAAAACAAAACAAAAAGCGTATGAAAAAACAAAAACAAAACAAAATATAACAAATTTTGAGGAAGACGATGATGCAAAAACGCTTAAGAGATTCATTATGCCATATTAAAGGACTAGTTAAACATAGAACTAAAAACAAAAACATAACCCAATCACATACACTCACACACACTCACACACACTTACAGAAAGAAGGACGAGAACGCTAACTGACACCACTAGTGTTTTTGATGCAAAGACCAACAGCAAGAACAAAACTTGGCTGTAGTTGTTACAACTAGCAAAGTCATCCGTTCATCTTTAAGATTCCAGCAATGAAACGTTAACCCAAAAATCTCCAAAAAAAAAAGACTGGAGGGACAAAAACAAAACACACCACAGGATACACAAGGACACACTGAGACACTGTGATACACTTGCGCGGGTTGTCCGTGTTGTTTCTTCATTTTTAGTTTCTCCGCTATTTTTTCATGACTGTATCAGAAATAAGTTTTGCCTTAAGTTGAATGTCATCATGCTCATCATTTTGTTCATGTTTAAGCAGTTCCCGTTGTTTTTTTTTTTCTTTTTGTTTTTGCATTCTTTACACCAGCATGAATTGAAGGTTTCGTTTAAACGTACAAGTTCCTGCGTTTAACTAACTTTGTTTTCCCCTCTCCCTTACTGTCTCTTTTAGTTTTCACGATTATCCTTATGCTCGATGTTGGCTCTAGTGTTTTTGGACTAAAATGTTATTTTTTTTCTCTCACTTTGTGTGTGTGCGTGTGTTTTTTTTTTAGTGACAACATTTTCTTAAGTAATTTTCATAGAAAAACTAGTGGCAACAAGGACAATGTATAAATAAAGCTGTTTTTGCCGCTTCTGTTGCAGCAGTTGCTGTTGCTTAACACGCCAAGGTGCTAAAGTGTTATACGATTCTGTAAATGTGCCAAAAAAACTGTGTGTAGGACAACAAAGCAAACCCGTTGCCAAGGTGTTAAGTGGTAGTGCTGCTGTTTTAGGCCTTAAAAGAAATGCTACAGCATGATTTTCTTTTTGCATCAACATTCTGGCTAAGCCTAGGAGCCCCCTCCGCTTTGGCTTAAACAAATACAATGTTTGTTTATGGGAATTTTATTTAAAACAAGTCTTTTTAGCAGTCTTTGGATTTTAACATTTCTATCTTTGGGGGGAGGTACTCTGAAAAACAACAGCAACTCGGCTTACAATCGTTACTAAGTACTGCAATTGGTTAAGTGTTTGAGTGAATGTGTGTGTGTGCATGTGTTTTAATGGTATCCTTGGTTAAGACTGCAAATAAGTTAAATGTGTTTCCTTTTTTCTTTCTACATTTATTTCCATTTATATGATTTAGTTTCTTTTATATTTTATTTAAAAGCTCTATAGCCTCACTATTCTAAATAATCACTTTTAACCATAGAATAATTTTTGGATACCCTAAAATTCCTAGTTGATTCATCGACTATTTTCTTTTTAATGATTTAGATCCTGGATATATTTTCCAATCGTATGAAAATGTAGGTTAGCGATATATACCCTAGGCCTTTCTGGGACACAGGGCATTATGTCTTTGGGAAAAGAAACCAGACCTACAGTAACTGTTAGTGAACTACATTGAATCATATTTTGTTTCTGGGTAACCGTCACTCAAAATTGCAGGTCGCATTTGTTGCCCGAAGGTATGGTCCAAGAACAAACCATTGGAAATTGGTGGTAACCGTCTCGCTTTATTGCACACCTAATGCGAAATACATGACTAAGTAGAATAGATTTTGGTGAAGGATCAGATAGAAAATGTTTTTGATACGTGCCTAACGAAACAACGGCGTTAGACCCTAGGTTTCTTTGGACCAAATCTGTTTCAGCACATTTGGAGCCGATCTATGGCTCCGTATGTTCGTATGTCTGTCTGGTAGCACGATAACTCTCGAAGGAATTATCCGATTAGTTCCAAACTTGTTATATTGTAATAGATCGAAAACACAAAATATCAAAAATTTCACAAAAAATAATTATACCTGATAGAATAAGAAATGATCAAATTTTTTTATAAAAATGTGTCTTCAAATTTCGCGCATATCAACTCCCCCACAACGGGTCGAAATTTGACCTCACCATTCCCGAAATAAGCACTAGTTGAAAAAAACGTAAATGTGCCCATCCTATAAATATGACCGAATTTAGCAAGGAAGTAAGTTTTTAAAAATGGGTGAAACCCGGTTCAGATATAGCAATATATATTGACATTTAATCCCCTCAACGCCATAATATGTTCTCTATAACAATGATTTTCCCTGCAAGATATCTGATACAGCTTAACTCGCCAAATTTATTACAATCGGTTCTGATATAGATAGAGCTCCCGCATAAATTTCCCGCTAATTAGATGGAAAGAGTACATCAATCGTTTTACCTTTGTCTAATTAGATTAAATTTTAGATTAGAAAAAAGTCTGTTAAATTTGGAGTGAATTGATTGAGATATATAGCGATAGGTCCCAAATATATATGTTTCATCCTCTTTTGAATTTAAGCCACCTCGTAGTCAATCAGTCCAATATTTCAAAAGTTGATTTAAACAAGTAACCATGAAATGTTGGTGGAATTGGAACTTCAGGAACTAATTAACATATATTGGATTCCCAAATTATATTGTAAATTATATTGGAATCCGAAATAAAACAAGTTAAAAAATATCGGTCGGTCCTGCCGACTGACGTATACCTTCAGCTAATGTTCGATTATCTATATCTATAAAAGAGGAAAATGTTTGTATGTTTGTTTGTTTGTTTGTTTGTTTGTTTGTTTGTAATTTATGGACTCGAATACCGCTGAACAGATTTTCCTGAAAATTTGCATGTATACTGCAACATCGCCTGAAAGTAACATAGGCTATATACATTTTTGAAAGTCCACTTGGAAGTGGAGATATAGCATCAGAATCGGAGGTACCTCCCAAAAATTTAGATTTTGTATGCACATATCTATTGACCGATTACAGATACAGTCTCCAAATTTGGAATGCGTTACGGAATTTGGAACAAAAATAAATTTGCAAAATTATATTGAAATCGGTTCAGATTTGGATATTGCTCCCATATATATTTTCGGCCGATTTCAAGCATTTGATGCACCAAACAAGCTATGTATCCCAAATTTCAATGAAATTTGAAACGTGTGATGGATTTTATCTAAAAAATTGATTTCCCAAATTATATTGAAATCGGTTCAGATTTGGATATAGCTTGCATATATATTTTCGACCGATTTCGTTCATTTGATACCTCAAACACGATATGAATGTTCGATTCCAATAAAATTTGGAATGTTTAACGGGATTTGATCCGAAAATATATTTATCAAATTATATTGAAATCGGTTCAGATTTGGATATAGCTCCCATATACATTTTCGGCCGATTTAATGTATTTGGTGCACCAAACACGATATATATGTCCAATTTTAATGAAATTTAAAATAAGTAACGAAATCGGGAGCAAAAATGAATTTGTCAAATTATATTGAAATCGGTTCAGATTTGGATATAGTTCCCATATATATTTTCAACCGATTTCATGTATTTGATGCACCAAACACGATATGTATCTCTAATTTCAATTTTGATTAGAAAATAAATTAGTCAAATTATATTAAAATCGGTTTAGATTTGGATGTAGCTCCCGTATATATTTTCCGCCGATTTCATATATTTGATGCACAAAACACGATACGTATTTCCGATGCCAATGAAATTCGCCATGAGTGACTAAATCTGGTACAAAAATAAATTTGACAAATTATATTCAAATTCGCTCAGATTTGATTATAGCTCCAATATATATTCTCGGCCGATTTCACATATTTGATGCACCCAAAGCGAGAGAGACGAAATCTGGCACCAGAAAAAAATGCCAAATTATATTGAAATCAGTTGAGGTTTGGGTATAGCTAACATATATATTTCGGCCGATTTCATACATGTTATGCACCAAACACGATATATATGACCGATTCCAATGAAATTCACAATGTGTGGCAAAATTTGCTTATAATAATAAATGTGATAAATATTAAATTAAAAAATTAGTTAAGATTTGGATATAGCTCCCATATATATATTCTCGGCCGATTTCACATATTTGACGCACCAATTTCAATGAAATATAAAAGTTGTGGCGGAATTTGGTGTAAAAATTAATTTTTTAAAATTATATTTAAATCGGATCAGGTTGGGATATGATTTTAATAAGAACCACAACGCCTTAGGCAAACACTAAAAAACAACACAACAATTACTTTGAAATACGCTTATTACGGCGAAGTATGTTGCTACCTCGAATTCACTAATTACAATAGAAATGGCAATCAACTACAAAAAATTGCAGTTTCCTGCACGCTTGGTATTTGCTATGAAATTAATTAATCCAAAGGACAAACCCTTCGTGTATGCATGTCCTGTTACAGCTTTTCTAATGGTTTTGTTTATTAACGCATTAAAGTGGTGCAATATATTTTTTTTAATTTTTAAATTTTTTTTTATACCCTACACCACATAGTGGTAAGGGTATTATGTCTTTGTGCATTTGTTTGTAACATGGAGAAGGAAACGAGATAGACCCATAGTTACTTTTGAGAACCTTCATAGAATCACTTTCTGAGTCGATTTATGCATGTCAGTCCGTCTGTCCGTCCGTCCGTCCGTCCGTCTGTCCATGTATTCTTGTGAACAAAATGCAGGTCGCATTTATTATCCGATTGAGATGAAATTTTCCAAACAATACTTTTTTGGCCCAAGGACGAACCCTATTGAAATTGGTGAGAATCGGATCAAATTTAGATATAGCTCCCATATATATCTTCATCCGATTTCGGGTTAAATGTGCACCAAATGTCCACTATCAGTCCAAATCACCTGAATTTTGGCACACCCAACCGAGTTCGGCCTTGAAGCAAGTATATCAAATTTGGAGAAAATCGGTTCAGATATAGCTATAGCTCCCATATATATCCTTCATCCGATTTGATCTTTAAGTCCCTCACATTCCTACTATGCACTCCACAACCG